ACTCGAACAGCAATTAAGAGTTTGTTGCGTCAGGTCTGCGAGCCGCGCGCCTTACACTCACTAACTTCTCGCCCGTTTAATATACTTACCTAAATGACTTGACACTCAGTTAAATTGCCACCAAAGTGTTTGATTATCAAAATAAATGAACAATTACAAGACACACGGTGAGTGTGTGTGTTTTTGGTTGCATCAAAATATTCCGAAGGACAAAGTTCAATTATGAAAGCAGGAGGCGGCTCGGATCGCGCTGACACGACACTTAGCCGAATTCCGCTTCGCACCTCCCGTACATTGAAGCAGACAGACATAGTAACATCGTGTTTATGCATTAAGCACATCGAAAATTGACAAGCATTTTAGCTGCATTTTGCAGAAACGGGATAAAATGAACACATCGTAATTCGTAGCGCAGGGGAACCAAAACAGCGTACAATAAAAATTTAAGCAGAGAATCTGAATTTTCTGTAGTACAAAAGCGTCTGCAAGAGATAAGGTTTTTGTCTGATCCGATGCTCCGGAGACAAGATTAAAAAACTTTGCGCTAATTAACTGCGCTACTACTCCCTCGCCCCGGTGGCAACTTGGCCCTGCTCCCCGTCCCGGGAGCAACTTAGCCCCGCTCCCCGGTCCGGGAGAAACTTGGCACCGCTCCCCGGCCCCGGGCGCAACTTGACGCGCCGTTTTCTGTTTGAAAAACATATTTGCATAGCTTTTCGTTGCTTTTATTCCGACAGAAATATGCCTGTTAAAATATGATTCGTAGAATTTTATTAAATGTAACAGAATTTAGTAAATTCCGTGTCAGTGTCGAGTGCGTCGGATCGCAAAGGATTGCCACTTCACTTGGAAACATTACGGCTTTATAAATATTTTTCAGAAACGCTCACAATATTCGTAATTAACAAATTCTTTTTGCAGAGAGTTGAAGCATCGGTCTGCAGCTTGCCGCTAGTGCCGATGTTTTTCTAATTGAAATAAATTCCCTCTTAAACATTTTTAAAAAATAAACTTCAAGTATTTATGTTTTCATTACATTTTGTTTGTGCAATTTAATTAGCACTCATATTTTGTGACATAAGTGTTGAAAAATAGTAGAGATGTTTGAGTTGAGGTGTAAGTAATTGTCCGTGTGCAGTAGCAGTGTCCCGCCGCTCGTGGTTGTTGTTTCGTATTCACTAACTTTACGGATGTAAACTTCATTTTACATTTCATTAACTTTTCTGTCTCTATTTGGTTTACGTTATTCGTACATCCTACACTTTACACTTGTTACTTGTATGACATAAAAGTGTATTACAGCACTGTGTATCCTTCGAGCTTTTCATTGTTGTCGGCGGGGAGGAGACAATGCGTTCTTGACACGCCACGTGACTCTTGCAACGCTGGCGTCCGTCGCTTGTTGCCTCGCTTGCTTGTTGTTCAAGAATGTAAAAAGTTAATTCTACTATAGCTTTGATTTATTTCTTCGAGACTTAAAGATTCGATCCACAATTTTATTACCGACTTGAACAAATTGACGCAATACAGCTCTATGACGAGAGTATGGCGAGTGATGGTGGCTGTGCGCCGTGCGCCGTGTGCTGGGTACACACTGCCCGATGCCCGACGACACTAACACGCTTGTGTGCAGTCTCTCGAAACGTGTTCCCTGCGGGACGCCTTTGTAACTTTTAATTGAAAACAGAGAAACATTTCAAAGGCACGGTCAGGGTATTCAAATGAGAAAATGATAAACTGTTCTGTCACTGAGATTCTATATGCTATAGGAGACACATCAACAGACTTTTGCATACTCACCATTACTATTTGAAAAGAAATATTATTGATTCACAAAAACTCTTAGTAAGTAAAGGTAGCTGCGTATTGGCCTGACGATAATTATATTCAAACCCGCTATTCAGATCTCTTTTTCGAGTTATTACGATTAAATTTATAAAACTTTATGCCAAGAACCCGAAGAAAAAAGAACTGATAACAATCATACTATAATCAAAACAAGTATTTAGTTTTATAAGCAGACTTCATCTTCAATTTTCCAAAATGAATTTAAACATTGCGAGGTACGGCAGCCTCCTGTATATCCAAAGTACACGTATTACAGAAGAAAGCACTTTGAAATAGGTTCCTACGAAAATGCACTTGGACTCGACTTGCCAAAAGCAATGCATAATTTATGAGGTTACCCGGACGACGGATTCTGAATTTTAATCGTCATGTGTTAAAGAACAATTTTGTATAAAAGCTAACATCGCCCTACATTGGGGCACACCTGCTGTACAGTCGCGAACGATTCCTGCGCACAGGTACAGTCACGTCGCGTCGCGGTCGTCTGCCCGCAGTCCGCACCACAGCCCACAGCGGGGCTTTAGTGGCCTCGGCGACTCCGCAAATCCCCACAAAGTCCACGAGCGCTATTTGCGGCTGCAATCTGCCAAATTGCAGTCGTAAAACTAAAATTGCAATGCGAGTTGCAATCACTGCCAATATGAAAATGTGCAATAACGCTAAATTGCTTGCTGGAATGTGCGTTTAAGTATTTCATAGTCAAATATATTCATATTTGTAGAAAATTTGCTATACCTATAGGCTTACAGACTTGTCTGTACCCTAGTGCCAAAAATTGTTAAACAAATGTTTATATTAAATCTAAAAAAGGTGACTACAATTCCTAGATTGCAAGGCTGAAACCTAAATCCAAACTGCTAAACATAACATGCGTGACCTGGTGGTTGGCACTGGCTTACAAGTCAACTGTATGGAATAACAACATTTTTATGATCTAGGCCATAAGATGGACATGTTACTAAAACTGCGTTATTCTTGTTGATTATGTGCTTATGAAGGACGTGAAAGTACCGGTTTTTTTTTTGAAAAAGTGACATCTATTGGCCACTTAAGAATAATAATGTGTTGCGTTGTCACTTTATTTTTACAGGTGTTTAAGAGATGGCGCTGTTTTCAGAAGAAAATATAATAAAACAAGATAAAAGAACTTGACATAGATAAAGATACACATTGCCTAATTAATCGTAAAAAACGTGTATTGTTTTGTTTTCTACGCAATTGGGTTCCAAATTTAAATCACACGACTTTACCAACGCAACGAAATATACAAGAACGAACGACATTTACAGAACGCAAAGAACAGCATCCATAATAACAAAAATACCTGCGATGTGAACTGCAGGAAGTGTACGTGTTCTGATATATCTAAAAACATCGGTTTACATCCTATTCTAAAGCCTCCCCACAGCTCCATCTATTAGTTGGCGGCAGAAACGACTTCAAAGTTTAATTAAAAAAAAAAAGTTTTTGAAGAGACATACAACACCAACCTTATCAAGTGGATGAGATACTTTGGTAGAAACTATGTATAGCTATTAAATTACGTAGGTATTTAAAACCATTTAATATTTAAATATTATAGTTGAAACTGTCTGCCATTTCGGAATGCAAACCATCGACTGTCTCTTATCATGTAATAAGAGAAACGCTGATTTATCTTGACATTATTCGAGAATTATAAGATAAGACGAAGTGCTCAATTTGTTTGTAACTCTTATAGCGTCACGCGTCGATATATTATTATGTTATTTAGCATCATTTTAGTAATTCCGTGAATTGACGCACAGACACATATTGTAAAAGTATCTTCACACAGTTATTTGCCATAAGAATAAAGTGAGTGGATAGTGATAAAAGAGTTATTGTTAAGCTGATAAAGGGGGCATTCCAGGTATATTTTGGTATTTAATTTGGCTTTGGGTAGCATAATGGCTTAGGTAATGAAGCGCTGACATCTGACATTCGGACGTTTTTCCTGATGACATCGTATTTTTCAAGGAGGATGCATGCGAGGTGATCAGATAGTAAATAGTAGAGAGCTGGTCTTAAAATTAGGGTCTTGATCCTTTGGACTGCGGCTCAACCAATAAAATAGCAACTCACGACTCAACGCGAAGTAATATAACCATGGGAACTGACACAATGATTCGCAAACCATTCGGTGACTCGCAATTCACGCAAATCATATAGACATGCCGCTGATCTTCACGATTAGGTTCACGGATGTACTTTACCCATGCGAGTCGTGAGCTGCTCTGCAGGTCATCAATTTTAGTCAAGCTACCCATGTCTAGTCCTCTTATAGTCATTATGCATATTGAAAAATTGATACAGCTTTAGAATTATTTAAGGCAAATACGAGGTAAAATTCATACTCATATTCATCCGTGTAGTTACCCCTCTCTCATTGGTCAAAATCGTGGAAGTAACAAGTACTACGTACAACAGGAATGAGTTCTATCTGTACATCTTGCAGTTAAAACAATGAATATAAAACCTTATGCTAAGGGCTTAAGAGTCTTGCACGCAAAATAAAATTGAACCCGGGTGAGAGGCTATAAGTGTCCGCTGTATCCCTTTCTAATAGAGAGCTAGAGTTGCCAGATATTAATCCTTTCGTTGTTTGTAGAAAAATAGGTGATTGATGTAATGTAATGCAGTAAAAATATCATATTTAAGATATAAGGAACAAGCTATTTTTGCTTCATAAACTTCACAAGACTTTTATTTAGCAATGTCTGATTTAGAATTGTGAATTTTGTATTGTTTTTTAAGAAAATACATAAATGATAACATTAATACGTTAAAATCCATCTGAAGCAGGCAGCTGTTGACGTCTGCCAACAAAAACAAGATTTTTTTATAACAATACTATTACACTTTATCGTTAATTTTGAACAAAAATAATAAGGTCTATCTCGTCTATGCTTGAATAATTACAAAGATGTATAAATTTGTGAAGATGTATTGTAAAAGTAAACAATTACTACATGCATTCAGGTCATAAGTTGCAAATCATTAGCATTTGATGTGGTTTCTTTTTGTTTACAACATGGGAGAATTTCGAGAAAAGTTGAGAGTTTTTTGCATACTGGTAATTCTATAAACTATCAGGCGCCCCTCCTGTCAATGTCATGTCAAACAAAAGTGAAGTGCCATATGATCCTTGTAGGTCGATACTGTACTGTGTATAACACTATATAACATCATGTACATATAGTGGAAATTTACGTAATAGGTAGAGATAACTGATAACATTACATTAGTGAATAGTGTAGATTAGGTTTATGTAACAATTGTATATAGGTAATTTTAATTACACTTTTGTTGATTTAATATTGTAGTGATAATTTTGGTCCTTACTACTAAGGCATTAATTATGAAGTAGTTAGGTAAATTAGAGTAGTTTAAACTTGAACTGCAATAAAAAAATAACAGGTTTTAATTGTTCAACGATTGAGGGATAAATATTATTGATCGGCGGTCGGCCCGACACAAAACTTGCCGACGTCAGTGTCAATCTCAATTATTCTAAATCTGCCATATACGCAGAAATGCGATTTTGTCCTTTGAAAATATGACTTCTAAAATTTTCCTTTGATTTTTATCTTAATTTAACAAACGTTAAATCTAAAAGTTTTCGATTTAAAATGTGTAGGTTGTGTTTAGTTGTGAAATTGATTACAGAATGTCGTCAATGAGGTGGATGATAAGTGGCGGCGCGGCGGCGGCTGCCAGCCCCAGTCGCCTGTGGTCGGGTGTCGCGAGAAGGTTGGACTCCGGCGAGCCGTGTCTGCTATATTGTAATAGGCCCTCTAACACACGCACCATGGCATCTAAAGCGGTTACGATGGATAATATAAATCCCAACATGGTGAAGTTAGAGTACGCGGTCCGCGGCCCTTTGGTTATTCGCGCCACTGAAATAGAAAAGGAACTTGAAAAGGTAATTATTTTTTTGGTATATATTTTACATACTACCTTTTACTATACCTATTATGTAAAACAAAACTTATATGAATCAGTTTATTCAAATATTGCAAAATTATACATTAATCTGTTTATTTTTAAATACAAAAACAAACACTTGACCATTAAGCACAGTTTATTTAATTTGTAAAATGTAAAAATATGAATTAACTTGACTTAACATACAATTTGAATTTTAATCACAAAACTGGTTGCAGCAAAACTTATCATTAGCTATAATTAGTACACTTACAACAAACAATTATATATTATTACATTAATATTTACCAAATTAAGTTTAGTTATGGCTAAGAGTTTTTCAACTACTTTTTTTAAATATTGATTGTAGTTATGATAACATTGTAGCTGCAATAAATGATCATATATCAATGATAAATGAATACTTCTATATCTAAAGATATTGTTGATAGTCCAATAGCTCACAAATGGTGCTGGAATTGCACTAGTCTAGTAATTTAGTAACTATATTGTGTCCAATAACAAATATTTAGTCAATAGATTAGCAAATCATATAGATGAGAGTATTTTAACTTCTAAATTATTCTGTACTCTACTAAATTAATAGCGGGATGTCAACTAGTCACATTGTGTATAAATGTTTTAATTTGCATATACAATATCTTATATTATAATAATTTCCTAAACAAAAATGGCTTTATGGCTTCATCTTTGCATTCTTCATTGCTGAGGGTTGTGTTCATTTTGATGTCCCTTCATTGAGCGGTCACTGAGATGCCTCAACACCACTCTGTTCTCAGCTTGGCTCTTAGTGGTCAGGATGTCTAGTCCCAGTATTGTTAGGATTGATCAGACCAGTGGGTTGGCATTTCAAAAATTGTCCCTCAATTATCCCTACATGACAAGTTTGTCTATGTTTACTGCATGCTATATGGCAAAAATAACGGAGAATTCTGAGTGAACACTGAGAGATGTCCTTACCTTTAGTATGTGACCTAATATCTCTGATTATTTATTTATTTACAAAGGCATGTAACTTCAAAATGTATTCTAAGTGTTTTACTTGATACTTATGTTTTTACTAGCTGTTGCCCCGACCTTGTCTGCGAGAAATAATAAATATATTAGTACCCTATGAGTTCTTTCTGACTATTTTCTAGCTATAGCCATGCTAATACTAAGCCAGGCTAGAGATACATCTGTCTACTAATTAAAACTTTTGCTTTTAAATATGATTTTTCATAATTGTGGGTCTAACAAGTAGAGATGCGTCACTAACCTATGTCATATCTGGAAATATGAGTTAAAGATTGCTGCAGTGGTAACAGAATGTGTTATTAATGGGGTGAAGATACAGTTATTTATTTTAAAGACTGCTGTATTTGGAATTGTGGTCGAATTTGGAGCAATAGCACCAACTACAGTATACGAGTAACTAACGTATAATTAGCAAACGGTGGAATGTGTTGTGAAAATTACCTAATTTGATTTGACAAATATATTGTAAGACTTAAAAACATTTAACAAAACAACCTTGGGGTCGTTTACCTTTTACATTGTGTCAGAAGGATAATTGTAATTTGGCATAATGCAGTGGTTTGCCTGCATTATGTTACGACATCGTGATATTAAGGACAGTTGTAATACTTTCGCTACAGTTTTGCGACTCTCAAAGTGACTAATACATTTACCTTTGTTTATCTATACTGTTAACCAACAAAAATTAAAATAAAACGCTGTTGCGTGATCATGCGTTACTTCTAAAGAAAACTGATTTTTAAAGTTTTTTCTTTTTCTGTTCGTTATTCTGCGTTCGTTCTAGGTATTCTCTAAAACGTAATATAATTGCTAAGCCCTTGTAATATACGCTTAAAATCACTAGGTTTACTATTGACATGACGTCTAAGAAATTCTTGTAGGGACAGTAGCTGTTTAGTAAGACTCCGTAGTTTTTTTATATTTTTATAGGAAACTTTTTAATGAAAAATAAAATTTAAAAATATGTATCGTCTGAACATTGTGCACATTATTGGTAAATGTTAAGAGAAAGGTTAAAAGTCAGCTATCTTGTGTCGGCCTTTTGTTTCGCAACGCCCTTCGCCGCCCGGACTCCGCGCACCCCGTGCCCCGCTATCGATGCCCCGCGGCAGGTTTTAACAGTAATATATGTTTGTTATTCTTAAAACTGAATGATTTTATTTATATTATAATGATTCATTCAAACGCAATGAACCCTGCGAGGACAGTCTTTTGTTTCGCGTGCGAAGAATTACCAAATATATCCAATTACTAATTAGTATGAATCGCAAGGATCCCCGCTTTTTTGTTGAGATTTTGGTTGAAGTCTCGTTACCTTGTCTCCGGTCATCCACTCCGCGGCGCCGTGTGTCACAGACCATGTGTGTGTGCGTGTGTGTGCGACAAAGACAAAATGACGTTTGTATTGTGGTTACTCTAAGGTCACGTTCAAACTCGCGATTGAAATGGAACATTTTCTTATAACATAACTGGTCTGCAACATGAAGTAAGCAATACGTATCGATCAAGGAGCAAACCGCGCAGCCTCGCCGCGCGACATTGAAACGACCTTCCTGCGCCACTTCATACACATGTAAAAACCTATCGCAATAGTCATTTCAGCAACCTATAAGCAAATGGATAAGTAAACAAGTAAACATCAACAAACTTTGTTATTGTTTTCTTGTAAATAGTTGTTGATAGTTTTTATAAAGTGACAGCCGGATAGGATTCCGCTGTATGAAAGTTTTCCATTGTAACAACAGCTAAATACACGTTACGGTGATATTAGCATACGTCATCATGTATTATATTCAAACATATAAGAATGTGTTTAAATATAATACATTTTAATGATCAGTTTTTAGTTTTAGATGCGACGTCATTAACGTAGTAGGTACCTAATGTGGTGAAGAGTAACACAACGTTATTATAATGTTTGTATCGTAGTAAATTGAAAAGCAATATCCGGTATTTTGTATGGACACTAGATGATGGTGTTAGTCATATATTTAGCCGCGGGAGAGACCTCGACATGTTTGCATTATGATATTGGTGAGAGCAGCGAAGGTCGTCGGAATTATGCGGAGTTATAATTAACTGCAACAATTAGTTTGTGTCGCCGACGTGGACTACATCTGCGTAAATAGACAACAAGCAAAGCGCGCGTCATGCTGCTACAACGGCACAAATGTCAGGATGAACAAGCTTGCTTTTGTGACCATACCGAGCGTATAACTAGGAACGATAAGCGAGTAATAATAAAGTCTGACGTTAGCTGGGTCGATTACCTGTCCGTCAAACACAGGAACTTTGTCAAAGGGGACGGTGGGCTGTGAATAACAGGGCCTATCCTGTTAGGATTCGTTTTGACATTGCATAGAATACGCCCGCCATTGAGATTGAATAAGGCGTTCCACTTCCTTTATCTTAATGATTCTGAAAACTAGTGTAGAAACTAAAAAGCGCTCATGTATTTACGTGAGCATTTATATCATCACATACATATTCACTTCACACGATCCCCTGGTAACCAGATGTAATCGTTAGGTTGTTTATCTTTCGTTTATCACATTAAATTTTCTTTAAGTCTTTCACAATTCTCCTTTGCCATTGTGTCGTGTAAGATTGCGTGACAGTTATTATAGTTATCTGGAGGGTCGATATCGCTCGGTGCGTTATCAACCTCTAGTTCAGAATGACACGTCCAGTAGTCTCTCTGCGGGAACGTCTGAGTCACGCTCGCTGCGGCAGCACGCAGCACGCAACCCGCAGAATCCACATCCGCAGAGTATAACGCATTTTTTGCTATGCTTGTTACAGCTCCAAAATGCTACTGAGGTAAATGTACTAATCACAAGTCTACTGATATACTTTGATATTGCACTATATGTGTTGAATTTAAAATGTTCCTAAACTAAAACACTGAGAACATTCCTAGCGGTATTGTGATGTTATGTCAGGGTCGCGTCGCGTCTGTGGTTCTGCCGTGTTGTCACGATTAACACCTTGTTAATGTTAAAAGCAATGCAAAAGATATTTAGTTGGTTAGCATGGCTAGCATAACGTTAATAATTAATTTGAAATTAGTGAAAATGATTGCACTCAGTAAACTTTCATTATTATTAATTGTGACACAAGAATTATATAAATAATGGAGACGTTGCGTTGATTGCAGGGAGCCAAGAAGCCATTCAAGATGGTGATCA